CTAAAACAAAAAGTATTTATAAATATAATACCAATATAGAAGATATGTGATTTATAATGTGTTTTCTATTCGAACTATTTTATCAAATTAATTATGTTTCATATTTTATTATGAATATCTTTTATCGCACTTAAAGTGTTCTGATTTATTTTTCTCAATAATTAAGACTTCATGCTCTGCTCTTGTTTATAAGTTTTGTTTTATAAATTTTTAATAATAATTACTTTATTTTTTTTATAATAATCATAATGTGATTGCGTATAAGCTTATTTGGTATCAAATTGTTTATTCGTTTTTATAAGCTATAATTGTTTATTTATGAAGTCACTGATGCAGGTATTGATAATTTTGAATTTAGGAAAACATATAGAATTGTTTTCATATGTATGTAAAATAGTCAAGTTATTTGACATTAGTATTTTCATGGCCGGATTTTGGGGCATGCAAGATAAGCAACAACACAAGGCCTCAATTTTTAGAGGGCCTAATATTTACACCGTTCATACTTATTTGACATAAAAATCATATATTTTACAGTATAAATTGTGATTTTTGCATTCAACTGAGTGTTACACCGTTCGTACTTATTTGAAATAAAAATCTTATATTTTACAATATTGGTTTTAAAGGTTGCTCTTATACTTTTGATAGGGCTTCATTTATTTATAAGAACGGGGCCACAAATTTATTTTTTTTTAAATGCCTATTTTGTGACCCGTCCTTATTTAATAAAAATTTTAGTTATAAAAATGTATATTAATTTCATGTAGCTAGGGCCCATTTTTGTTGCTACGCCTCGGGCCTATAAAATGATAGGACCGGCCCTGAATTCTAAGTGGTATAAATGTTACCTTTCCTGAGGCGCATAAATTATAATATACGGAGGCAATATATGATCACATTTATACCACTTGAAATTGAAAAGTGACATTTATAATTAGTTTATATCTAAGACATTAAATTGCAATTTTTCCATATATATAGATATATATTTATGGAATAAGGGTCAAATAGGCTATCGAACTGCATTCAATAATGCAATTAGGCCACCGAACTTTAAAAAGCTACAATTAAGTCCCTGAACTAACCAATTCTATTCAATTAGTCCAATTTGTAGGTTTTTCAGGTTGTTAGCAGGTCACCCCTAATTTAAAATATTTTTAAAAAATTATTATTTAAAATAATTATTTAAAATAAAAAATAAATTTAAAAAAAAAAAAAAAAAAAACAAGAAGAATCCTTCGTCTCCAGCCAGAGACGAAGATAACTTCTTCGTCTCCGGCTATGGAGACGAATATAACTTTTCTTCGTCTCCAGCCAGAGACGAAGAAGGTTTCTTCGTCTCCGTCGATCTGGTTTGTTTGTTTGTTTGTTTTTTTTTTTTTTTTTAATTTTCATTTTATAATTATTAATATTAAATAATTATTTTAAATAATAATTATTTTTAAAAAAATATTTTGAAAAAGGTGACCTGCTAACGACTTGAAAAACTTACAAATTAGACTAATTGAATAGGATTGGTTCGCTCAGGGATCTAATTGTAACTTTTTAAAGTTCGATGGCTAATTGCATTATTGGGTGCAATTCGATGGCCTATTTGACCCTTATTCCTATATTTATTAATGATTAAGCATGCATAAGATCGATTTGGAAGTGCTAGCTTACATAAACAAAAGGGTCCTTTTCAAGGAAACCAAAAATGAGCCAAGCAGTACCACATAGGAACATGGAGAACGTCAAGAGGAATGGCATGAACTCTACACTCTTTGTCTTCATCACAACCCTCTGCACTCATCAAATTTCCATGAAGATCAAAAACTACTAATTGTGTATGCATGTGCATGGTATTATGGTAATAATAGTGGAAAAGATAATGGAAGTTATAACGGTAGGGGCATATTTGTCTAAAATAATGTATAATACAACTCTTATAGCATAATGTATATTTAAAAAAAAAAAAAAAAAACGTAATGGAAAAAGGGATATAAATGAAGAGTATAACCTTCACTCACACTTATTAGTTTCCTAGCTATAATAATAATAATAACAACAACAACAATAATAATAATAATAATAATAATAATAATAATAATAATAATAATAATAATAATAATAATAATAATAATAATAATAATAATAATAATAATAATAATAATAATAATAATAATAATAATAAGAGTTAATTTCAGAAATGGTCCCTTGAATATTGACATTTACCAATTTGTATCCTTTTACTTTCAATTGGACTATAAATGGTCCTTTGACTATTGATCTTTACCAACTTTCAATATGAACATAAATGGTCCTTCAGTTAAATATCTATTTAATAAACATTAAATTTAAGAATAATAATATAAAAATTAGCTTGCTGTTGAGATGGACAAATTGAGTTCATAAATTTAATACATTGAGTTTATTATTGTGAAGAACTAAAATTCTTACATTACTACCCTTAAATAATGTTTATTACAATGATATTTAATTAGAAGATCAAATTTGAAAAAAATCAATAATCAAGGGACCACTTATAGTTAAATTAAGTTTTCAAAAAAAAAAAATACGGAGTAGTTAAATTAAAAGTTGAGGACGAAAATTGATAAAGATCAATGGTCAAGAGACCATTTATAGTCCAATTAAAAATTGAACGATAAAAATTAATAAATGATAATAGTCAATGGACCATTCTTGAAATTAACTCTAATAATAATAATGAAGTGCAACACATAAAATGACTAGTAATTTATAAGGTTGAGAAAGGGGAAGATGAGAAGAGCTTACAATGACTGATAGAGGCGAGAAGAACATAATGGCGGTGCAGATTATGGTAGCAAAACCGCAAAAGAGCTGTCTGATTCTCCCATGGAAAACAAGCACCGAAAGAAGCGCAATGGCAACGAATATTCCGACCACTAAAATAAGGAGCGCTCCCATTTTTTTCTTTTCTTTCTTTGGCGCAAATACTATAAATATGACCACAAATGCTAACTCAATTACCGTTCCGATTCCATCAATTGTTGTCACAAGTATATTGTTAGGCGACACAAAAGGCAACACGTACCTGTCAATTCATCATCGCGTACCAAATAATAATAATAATAATAATAATAATAATAATAATAATAATAATAATAATAATAATAATAATAATAACAATAATAATAATGATGATGATGATGATGATGATGGAAAATTGCACTTTTCGTCCCCAAGTTATAGGGTAATTGTAGAATTCGTTCCTAAGTGTTGGTCATACTCACTTTTCATCTCTAAATTATCATTGACGTTGCACTTTTCATCCCTTTACTAATAAAACATTAGGGACGAAATTTACAATTTTAGTATAACTCGGGGACGAAAAGTGCAACGCCAATGATAACTTATGGATGAATACTGAGCATGACAAACACTCAGGAACGAATTTTACAATTACTCTATAAATTAGAACTGCAATTACTCTATAAATTAGAAACGAAAAGTGCATTTTTCCCTCCTCCTCCTCCTAATAATAATAATAATAATAATAATAATAATAACAATAATAATAATAATAATAATAATAATAATATCAATGAAAATTTTACCATTCATTTATGTCTATTTTTTTCTGTTACTTTTATATATATATATATATATATATATATATATATATATATATATATATATATATATATTATGCTATAAGAGTTATACTATATAATATATACACATTATATATTGGAGTACTATATAAGTTATTTCCTAAAATATAAATATCAAATTTCTAAAAATGGTTTACATTATTATTATTATTATTATTACTATTATTATTATTATTATTGTTGTTGATGATGTTGTTGTTGTTGTTGTTGTTGTTATTATTATTATTATTATTATTATTATTATTATTATACAATAATATAAATATTTAAAATTTAAATAAACTAGAATTTTAATAGAGTACTAATATTGCGCATTGATTTTTGCGAATTAGGCATAAAAAAATACAAGTAATAATAATAAGAATAATGCTATACACTCCTAATTTAATTTTTCTACACTTTGCATTTTCATAATAATAAATTGAATTTGGTAATTTCGTTATAGTAAAAGTACTATTTTGGTAATTGACATTGGAACTAATCCCCTGTATTGGTTGGGAGAAAGAACATAAAATACTAGTAATAATGATAAGACTAGTGCTATATGGCGGTTTAGGCTTAGCGTTGGAAGACTACGAACAGAGCCGACAAATACTGAAACACAAACCTAATAACCTATTCTAGCGTACGACAAACAGAGACAGACGATTGACTCACAAGAGAAACACTACAACAAATTGGCGAATTGCTTACAACCTAGGTATTTGAACAATTGAACTTTTAATTTGAGGCTGCTGTTTGTGAATTCTAACCTAGAATTTCTAGTTATTTGAATTAATTTAAATATTGAAATATTTAATTTGAGTATATAATTTGACTATTTGAGTGCTTGTGTATTTGAACTAGATTAAGTAATTTAAATTTGGGAAAGATGATAGATTCTATTCGAGTGCTACTGATTCTTTAATTTTTTTTTTATCATATAAATTCTCAAGTTCTTCAATTTTCTCGACAAATAATTAAAATTACGTATTATTTCACAATTCTTATTTATTGTTTTATTTACATAACTTATTAATTCTTATTTCGGAATAATATATTCAAAAATTCATTTCTTGATTAATTATTTATTCATAGTGTTTCTAAAAAAAATTTATTTTTTCCTTAGGATTTTATGTCTTGTAGAAAATATTCATAGTTTGAAAAGTGTTTAAAAAAAAGAATAATTGAGAAAGTAACTCAATTTAAAAAAGGAACTCTTGAAAAATTCATTACAAAAAAAAAAAAAAAAACACTCAAATAGATGTATTTTTTATATAATATTTATATTTTGAATTTTTGACACAACTTTTTGAACAATTATTATTTATATATAAAAATTACTTGAAAACAAGACCCAATTATTATTGGAACGACCCTGAGAATAGATGAGTCCCTTCCAGTCAATCACAGCCCAAGTTGGTGGCGTTGTTGTATAATACATTTATAATGTGCAACGAAAATAAACTAGTAATTAAGGACAAATTACACATTAACAAAAGAAAACGAATCCACACACATCTGTGTGTGTAAAAATATTCTAAAACTAAAATGTTGTTATTTAATTATGATCATACGTATTGTTAATTACTTTTATCTAAAATAGGTTATTAGTTATGAATTGTTTGAGGTAACAACAAATTAATTAAAAGTTTAATTTATTAATGCAAAAAATTAATACCAAAGTCATTACTTCAATATGTTTTAATTTAGTGTTGATACACAGAGAAGTAAGTCTTTTATGTAAAAAATAGAATGAAGTGTTGAAAGAATTTATTACCAAGCACCAAGCATGCAACTGAGCAAGGTAATGACAGGGGGAAATCCAGAAAACTCTTCCGTACTCCTTTTCTTGATGATCCTCTTGAATGTAACACTAGAATTTGTTCAAGGAACATAAAATATATATATATATATATATATATATATATATATATATATATATATATATATATATATATATATATATATATCAAACATCAAGAAATTTAAATGTTAAAACTAGCAATAATGTAGAGAAAGAAAACAAAAATCTGCACAAATTTTCAAAAATTTAAAATTACGAACATTACAATGTCATATATAAAAATATTGTATTACCAAAATAAAAAGTATTGTGGATACTTATAAGCTTGAAAACCCCCAAAAAATAATGATATATTTATAGTTTCAATATTTTGCTTCCACTTTTTGGGATATCATGATGCGCCCACCGGATAGCAATCGTTATGCGTTGGACCTGTGTCCAGCATGCTTGCTGGACACGGGTAATAGTGTCGTTAGGCACTGTTATCTTTTTTTTTTTTTTTTTTTTTTTTAAAAAAATCAGACCGCTTTGTTATAGGAATATATGTTCATAATTTTATTACTATATTATTAATAACTGTACATTCATAATTTCATAACTGTACGTTCATAACTCTATAACTGTATATTCATAATTCCATAACTGTACATTCATAACTCCATAACTGTACATTCATAACTCTATAATTGTACATTCATAATTTTCGAAGCTCTATGTTCACAATTTTAGAGCTCTATGTTCATAATTTTATCATTATATGTTCATAATTGTAAGTTCATAATGTTAGAGCTCTTTGTTCATAATTTGATCAATAACTGTACATTCATAATTCCATAACTGTAGATTCATAATCTCATAACTGTAGATTCATAACTCTATAACTGTATTCATGAGTGTTTGTCATGCTCAGTATTCATCCATAAGTTATCATTGGCGTTGCACTTTTCGTCCCCGAGTTATACTAAAATTGTAAATTTCGTCCCTAATGTTTTATTAGTAAAGGGATGAAAAGTGCAACGTCAATGATAATTTAGAGATGAAAAGTGAGTATGACCAACACTTAGGAACGAATTCTACAATTACCCTATAACTTGGGGACGAAAAGTGCAATTTTCCATCATCATCATCATCATCATTATTATTATTATTATTATTATTATTATTATTATTATTATTATTATTATTATTATTATTATTTGGTACGCGATGATGAATTGACAGGTACGGGTTGCCTTTTGTGTCGCCTAACAATATACTTGTGAATCCTTATACCATGGATCAGGGTTCACAATGCACTGTAGACCTGATGCATGTGTTTGTGTTTTATGTTGTGAGTTTTTTTTTTTTTTTTTTTTTTTTTTTTGTCTTGTGTTATGAAATTATGTATCTTGAAAGTATCAATTCTGTACCTGAAACAAATTAGTAGTTGTGTCTTATGTTATGAATTTGTGTATCTTGTGTTATGAAATTTTGTGTCTATCAACACAAATTTTGTACCTAAACCAGATTTGAAAAATAAATAAATATATAACATATGTATGTGTCTTGTATTGTAATTTTTTGTGTTTTGTATTATGAAATGCGGTACCTTATGAGTATGAATTTTGTATCTCGTCATTTTGATCCAAGATCCACAATGCTATGTGGACCTTGGTCCATGATATAAATTGCTTATAATATGGATCATGGTACATATATAATATATTGATGGAAGCTGTGTAAGCTAAGCCTATGTTCCTACTTAATTATAAAGAGGCAACTTTATCTCTGTTGCACTTTGTCATTTTTCTTTATAAACATTATTGATATATTATTGACACAATGAGTGATGAGTCAAATCAACATATCGTGTCGTGGCCACTTTAGGCTAACAAAGAGTGATTAGGCTTTAGTGCGGAAATGCCTTTAATTTAAAGCTGGTTTGATATATTATTAAATTATGTTGCTATATTAGATGTGCATGGGTCGAAGTGATAACTGTTATATCGAATTTATCATATCATTACAATTTATCATATAATCAAAAAAATATATTCACAATTCTTGTCTTCAAATGACAAACATAAACAATCTTAGCTTGCAGCATTCTCAACAAGAATCATCTCCATCAACTATCAGCTCCACCATGTCACCAAAAAAAAAAAAAAAAAAAATACACACACACACACACCAAAATAAATTTGAAGTGGCAGAAAATAAAAAATAAAAAATAAAAATATTTACCTCAAAGTTTTGTTGTCCAAAAACAATCATCCAAAGGAGAAAATGAAGGGAATTGTTGTCTAAAGATGGAGATCATAGAGAGAAGCTCCCTCTTCCATCTCCGTCTTGAGAAGGAGACAACAAATGGTGGTTGTTCTGCAATGGCGATGACAGAGGAGGACGCATTGCCTTGAGACAAGGACTACAGAGGACAATAGAGAGAGAGAGAGAGAGAGAGAGAGAGAGAGAGAGAGAGAGAGATATGCCCTTTTCCATCTCCGTCTTGAGAAGGAGACAACAAATGGTGGTTGTTCTGCAATGGCGATGACAGAGGAGGATGCCTTGCCTTGAGACAGGGACTACGGAGGACATTGACTCCTCCGTTTCATCCATGAGAGAGAGAGAGAGAGAGAGAGAGGGGATAGGGTTACCTGATGAGAAATGGAGAGAGAGATAAAGAAGTTTGAAATAAATGTGAAAATGGTAGCTGACGTGATAATTGGATTAGTCATTGGACCCGACCCGAAGCACATTTGGATTGACCTAAAGTAGTCAAAGCAATCAACACTGTTAGTTGATAACGGTTAATAGTGAAGCAGGAGGAGGCCGGGTGGAACGATTCTTAGAGTCCAATGTACTACCACCTCATCAAAGAGTAGTTACAGAAGAGAACCCACATCAATTACTGAGGAGTTCTGACACTTATGGAGGGGAGCTGTAACACCCCTAAATTCTGAGATATTTAAAACTTATAAAATAAAGGCAAATCCATTGACTGAATCCCAAACAGAGCATAAAGCTAACCATAAGTGTCGGGGTGCTATGTCACACCTAGGTTTGAGAACCTAGGTGCACAGGCTAAGCTAACTAAGCATAATAAATCCTTAATTCAATATTCAAAGACAATCCCAAGGCACGCAGGCCAACTACTAAGCTAAGGCTAAATAAGCTAAGTCCAAGGCTCTGACTAACGCGCTCTGAAGCTAATGCTCATCACCTGAAAAACATTCGGTATAACAACCGTCAGCGAATAATGCTGGTAACCCACTCCAACGCGTTAAGTACAATATAGGTAGATATAAGAAACTCATTTTGAAACTGGAATACATATATATACTTACGAGACTCTAATTTAAATCCAAGATCAAGACTAAAGACATATTAACAAACTAAATCATCCTAGAGTAATCATAAGAACTAACAGGCATCCTAAGCATGCAATACAAGGCATGACATGCAGATAAGCATACAAATAACAAGTAGAAGCAACGAAGGCATTCAATATAGTCAATTAGCAAGTAGTCATCAAGCATACAATTCATCCTCCAACCTTATACCAAGTTCCAACTTTGTAGCTCCCCTCCGTCCTTATATCAGTTCCAACCTATACTTCCAGGCCACCCTTATATCACCACCCCTTATGCCACCGGGCAACTACATGCCCCCACCAACAAACCACCTATCAACCACCAATATATCAAGATGGTGCCGCAGTTCCATTCAATGATCCGCATCTCTAGTGCCAATATCAAGGGGTTAGCGCATATAGCTATAACATGACACTGCAACACTTATAACCTGACCCATGCTCAACGGCAAGCTAGTTGAAGGTGGGTATGTGCCTTTTCAGCACAGTCACCGCTTTGGCTTGTACCTTTAGTATAATGACCGGGCACAAGTGGTGCTAACCGCCAACAATTTATTTCCACCAATCACAATCTCATCATCAATCACACCGGCCATTGCGCAATGACCACGATACTCATCATCATTCAATCAATTAACACATAATCAAATAACAATCAAGACACAACAACAACGACATGTATTACACATAAATTCCTAGAACGATATCTAAACGACAAACGAGACTCATACACGACAAACGGGGTACAACAGGACACGGGGAAACAACAAACGGGCGAAAACATTGTGAACAAAGAAAATTGAATAAAATATAGTAATATTCAAAATTCTGGTTACAGTAGTATATATCAATGCGGTGTGGGTATAAGATCTCTGGATCTCCTCTGCTTCTTCAATTGGACGCCTTGAACACCCCACCATTGAAGGGCCTCCAGGTTTCAAGTGGCTTAATCTTCAAAGAATGGCTTGTATAGCTTGTTCTTCTTGAAGGGTCTCCGGGTTCAAATAGCTTGATCTTCAATGGAGGTTTGGATCAACATACATGATTGGATTGGATGAGAGGCTTTTACTTTTAGGATCACATTTTTATTGTGATTCCTGAATAAGCTTCAAAGCTTAAGATATTTCTATGAATTTTTCCTAGGATTTTTGTGTGATTACATAGAAATGAAAGTCCCTATTTATAGCTGTAGGATAGAAGAGTTTTGATAAACTCAAACTCTTTTGATGTTATCTAATTAACAAATTAGATAATATCAATATTATCCAAAATATTTTAAATATATTCAAATATACTAATATTGATAAATAATCAATATTTATCAAAATTTAAGTGTCTACAAACATCACGAACCTCGACCGGTTTCCAGCGGGTAGGTGGCGGAGAGGACCACCCGCCAACCACCCGCCGGTGGCCACTCGCTATTCAAGCGGGTGGCCGGCGGGCAGACCACCGCCCGCCGGCTGCCCGTTGGAACAGTGACACGGGCAACAGGTAGGTGGCGGGTGGTCAGTCCCCCCACTGATACACAGGCAACTTTCGGTCCCGGGATCTCTCGTGAAACCCGAAACCATGTCCACACACATTCAAACACATAATGACAACACCACGTATCCAATACGGAATTAAACCAAGAATCACCCCAAATACGTTCTAACACGATTCCTAAACATACCAAGACCTAACATAAATCATATAACGGTCCAAGAGCATTCGGAACCACAAGAACATCAAGAAATCTATATGCAAAGTACTAAACACAAGTCCTAGGCTAGACTCAACACCCGATCATGCATAGTCCCACCCAAATATACCAAGAACATCATAATACGAAATTCACGATATAACCCTAGGGCTCTAGACATAATCAAAATACAAGATCGTTCATATAATCAATCATAATATCAAGAACATCAAGATTATCACATAAACACAATATAAACCCTAGGCAAAGCTCTATCAAGACTCAAACACAGAATCATATATCGTAGGAGCCAATGAATAAGATATAGCAAGGAAAATAGGTTTTGTCGAGACATGGGTTACCTTTTAGCCTTAATCAATCCTCCCTTGGCTTAAGGTTTTTCTCTAAGATTTCCCTCTGATTGATCTCCCTAGGCTTGACGGTGAGGAATCTCTTGGGAATATTTTCGTGTAATATAACTATGGGTGGTAAGGGTTCTAATTGCTTTCTAATCCCTATTTATAGAGTTAGAAATCCTAATCAGAGTCTGAATAGTGAAAACCTACTTTCTATTCCTAACAGGTATATAGGTCTAGGATTCCTAATTAGAATCTCAGTAGTAAAAGGTTTACTCTCTTTATTCCTAATAGGCTTAAGACTCTAGTTTAGGCAAGGGTCCACGGTTCATGGTGGACCGCATTAATTAATTAAAGGGAATTCTAACCAAATTAAATCCTTTTAAATTATTTTTAACGAAATTAATTAAATAATTAATTCATGATTAAAGTCCGTAACACGGGGTGTTACAGGAGTCGTTGCACTTATTAGGAGGCCGTTATTTCGCATTATTGTAGTTGTTGCCATTGTACAGTATAAAAGCTGAGCCCATGTAAAAAGTAGGGGGACACTTTGAAACTTTGTACTGAGGCCATAACAACACAATTTATCTCTGTTCACTTATAAACAAATATTTTCGGTAACATATTTACCATCATTGGTGCTTTCATTGAGAGCTGGAGATCACTCAAGGCTATAACACCTGTGGATCTCAAAGTGACGGCCCAAGTCATTCAGCATGCAGCTGCGGCTCTAACCCAATTGGTGACAGGGATTCAAGGTCAAGTGCCCCGGGCATCCGCGTAGGAAGATGAAGTGATATCAGGGCCGTCTGCCCAGGGCCTTTGCACAGGGCCCATAATTTATAAAAAAAAAAAAAAAAAATGTATATACATTGTGTAAGCGGCAAGCGGCATTACGGGGCGAAACCCTTTTTCTTGATGCGCAAGTCCGCATTGCGCAACCCAGGCATTATGTATACAGTATATAATATTAGGCTAATTAGTTTGATTTCATTACCAAATTTGCTGCTTATTTACACAAATCAAACCCAAGACAGCTGGCCTAGAAAGGATCGAACTCTTGACCAAAATTTAGGATGAATGAGTCTCTTCCACTCAACCACACCCTCCAAGTTACTCTTACCATGTAATTAAAATTACTAAATATTTAACAATTTTTGTTTATCATTTTATTTACATGACTTAATAATTTTGATTTCAGAATAATATATTCAATAATTTGTTTCTTGATTAATTATATGTTCATAGAGTTTCTAAATAAATTTTTATTTTTTCATTTTATAATTATGTCTTCTAAAAAATATTCATCTAGATTTGAGAAGCTTAAAAGAAAACAAGAATTGAGCAACTAACTCAATCTCAAAATGGAGCTCTTGAAAAATTCACTATAAAAGAAACTCAAATAGATGTACAAAAAGATAATGTCAACGAAAGTTGTTAGATGCTAATCTTCATATTAAGATAATTGTGAGATTGAAAAAAATTTAAATGATAGTGTGCACAACGATGACAGATATCACTGTGACAATGAAAACAATAAAAATGTTAGGTTGATAGTTGTTTAGATGATATTGGTCACAGTGATAAACCAAATGATTCGTTTTTATTTAACATATATGATTAGTTTTAATCTCTATTGTAAATGAGATTTTGGAAGAATTTGATATCATAAGTTTGATGGATGATTTTGCATCTTTTACACGACGCATGTCACTTTTTAAATGAAATTTTAGACGTATTTTTTATACAAAATTTATATTTTGAATTTTTGACACAATTTTTTGAACAACTATTATTTATATATACAAATTATTTTTTTTTTTAAAAAGGGTCCAATTTAAGATATTGCACAGGACCTCATTTCCTATTGGAACGGTCCTGAGTGATATCACCATGGCGAGAGAGGACCCAGCGTCGCGGTGCGACCCATGCTACCGGCGATTGCCCTAAAACTCAACCTCGCTCCAGGAGAAGAGAGGTGAAGGGTCGAGGGGAAGGAGTTCAAGTAGGTGGCTTTGTCGGACATTGGCAGACCGCTTCTATAGCCGTCTTGGTATGGTTAGGCAAGAGGGTAACTATCCGGTAGAGGTTAGGGCTACAATTAAAAGTGGTAGATGCACTCCGCCGAGTGGTCGCGGAACTAATGGGGTTTGGAAAAATCATGCTTAGCAATTTAAGTTGTACAAAAACTAACATGATAATGTCATCTTCCTTTGTGCTGTCCACTCTGTTCCCAAACGCCATTATGGAGAAACCTTTGCCCAAAGATTTCGGTTTTCCTACCATCAAAGCGTACTCGGGGACGACGGATCCACGGACACATCTCACCAGGTGTAGGGCCGCCATGATGATAATCGGGGCCACTGATGCCATCATGTGCAGGGGGTTCTTCTCCACTCTGGACGATAAGGCACATAATTAGTTTGGGTCCCTACAAGAGGGGTCCATCTCTACCTTTTCTGACCTCACAATGCGATTTTTGTCCCATTTCACCAGCAGCATACAGAAAAGGAAGCAGATCACTGATGTAACACTCCCGAATTTAACCAACATTTTTAAAGCTTAATTAGAGAAAACAGTCTAACATTAATCAATTAACAAAGCGGAAGCTAACATAATTCCGGTAGTGCTATGCCAAACCTATACCAAAAGATAGGTGCAAAGGCTACAACTAAAACCAATGTCAAAGTTCTACGGCTCACAGGCCAACAATAAGATAAGGCAAACGAGAGCTACACTAACTACGATCCACAACTAGCGCGCTCTCCGATCTAATCAAAACCTGTAAAGACACGGGATAACACCCGGTCAGCGAATAAAGCTGGTAACCCACCAATACGCGTTAAGTATCAATATATATACATAGATATAGTCAAAACCGTTTGAAACTGAGGAGTACAGTATATAGCATTTGAAAACCAAGAGATGAGACAACAATCAACATATCACACTCTCAATAAAGATCAAGACCAACAACTTCAACAAAGCAATATAGACCACAATCAACAAGTGAAAACCACAACTCTAGATGCAACCTACCATCCACAAGGTAGAGTTCGTCATTGACATGCTCATAAGCAGGAAATACAACGATCATATAATGACAAGTTTCACGTTCCAACCTTATACCTTAGTACCACCCTTATGGCTACCCCCGGCCTTATCACAGTTCCAACCTGTACCTTCGAGTGCTACCCTGTACACCGAGTCCAACCTTCTCCCTCCTGGGACTGTCGTCCCCCACCAATCACACCACCAATCAATATACTGCCGATTTCTCTGTACACGAGGGTACCATTAAATTCATAGTAACATACCATCGATCTTGTGAGCAAAGCTCAAGTAACAAAACCACCAATCTCATTCATATTCACACATAGTCATCATCAAGAAGATTAAGGCTCATCAATAGCCCAATCAAGTATCAACAAAGGGTATAACGATTTGTACAAGATCACACCATAAGAATCAGCCAAGCGATTTCAATAAAGACATGAAGTAATACTCAACAACAATGGACTACAATCCAATACCAACATGATTGGCAATACGAGTTGCCAATCCTCAACAAGAAAGAACAAACCATACATACTGGCATATCAACATCAAAACTAGCATGCTCCTTCAACGGGTAAAACGTTCCAACGAACCTTCAAGACTCATATTAGTCCAATGAATCACAAGGTTGGACCCTTAGCACGATTCAAGACACCAAATCCTAACATGGATTCCTAAAACATCATTCTAGACATACGAAACATCAAGAAGACTCTCAAAAACTCAACAATCCAACAACGGGAGGTCAAAACATCAAATACCAAAGGAAAGAACCACGGGGAAAACAACTCCCCGACATCACCACCAACGTTCCCCGCGGGTGGGGCCACGGATAGGCCATCACCCGTGGTTCTGCCCGCGGGGTACAACCCCTTAAGACTGCGTTCCCCGCGGGTGGGGCGGTGGGTAGGCCACTGCCCGCCGTTCCGCCCCTGGGATACATCCCGATACACCAATTTTTCCCTTCGGAGAAATTCATCTCCAAGGACAAGTTCAAGTCCAAAACACCCAAAACCTCACATACAACAAAGATATGACTTGAACCCAAGAATAGCTCAAAGAAAGGCATTCAAGAACCCTAAATACAAGCTCTAAACATGCATTATCACAAGATCATGCATCAAATCTCACAAATACCCCAAGAATCATCAAATAGAAGCCAATAATCATTCATAGCAATAGAAAATAGGTTTTGTATAGCATGGGTTACCTTTGAAAACCAAAAACCTCTTACTTCTCGCACTCCTAGGCCTCTCCTTGAAGCTCTTTCTCACCAAAGATTTCTTACACAACCAAACCACAAAGAAAACACCAAAATAAGATAAAGACACCTTAAAGCTAACTAAATAACTTTAGATCTTACACTTTCCTATGTTAGGGAGGTAGAAAGGTGGAATCTTTGGATGAAACTTTGCAAGGGTAAATGGTTCTTCTTTTAGCTTGAAGAGCAAGCCAAGATTTCTTTAGAGGGAAGGTGGAGTGTTTATGATTTGGCTAGTAAGGGAAATGAGTGAAGTGTCTTGCTAGGAAAAACTTGAGCATAAAAACATGTGTGAAAGGTCAACTTTACCCTTACTAAAGTTAGGAAGACAAAAGGGTTGAGGTACAAAGCATAAGGAAAAATGTACACATGGTTGACTAAGGAAACTAGTCAAATTCTAGTCCCTCGACTATTAAATTTCAGGATTTTTAGAAGGAAAGTATCCAAGGAGAAATAGGATTAATTCCTCAATTAATCTCAATTAAGGGTTAGATTTACGGGGTGTCACAACTGACCTATGTTACCTTAAGCAAAAGAGCTCGGAGTCATTAGCCGAGTACCTCGGCAAGTAGAGGAACGAGGCCATGGGGGTCGCCAATTTCGACGGCAAGTCGGCCATGCTGATCTTCAGGAACAATTTGAGATCTGGTGCCTTCTACTAGGACCTCATCTGGTATCCCCCCATGATCTATACCAAGCTGATGGACAGGAAGCGAGGTTTGTTGACGTTGAAATCCCCGAGAAGACGAAGGAGGAGGATGAGAGAAGCCGAAAAGATAAGGCACCCTAGGAGGAGCGTAGGACGCCACAGCCGTACCGACGTGAGTTTGCCGAGGGGCCCACACAGCTTGTAAGAACCATCCTAGCCCATGCGGAGGGCCAAAGAGTCGTAGAATACCCAAGGGAGGAATGTATGAAGATATCACCGAAGGGGGACCCCAACAAGTACTCTAGGTTCCACCGGCGGAAGGGGCATGACACAGACGCATGCATCCTCCTCAAGCGGCAGATCGAGGAGCTCATCCAAATGGGCTACTTAGGTAAATTCATAAAGAGACCCGGGCAAAGCCAGGGCCAGAGTCAAGGCAACCTATGAAACAAAGGGGGTGGCTCCTTGCCATCCACCTCGGCACCGCGCAAGAAAGAGCTCGGCCAACTTACCAATGAGGAGGAAAAGGAGTTAGAGAACCCCCAATCCCAAAAGAAACATGCCATCTATGTCAGTTTTGGGGGATCCAAGGGGGGAGACACACCGGCCGAGCGGAAGAAATGGGCAATAGGTCTGTACGTGGGGGAGGTCGTACGGGCACCGCATGAGAAGAAGCTGAGGAGAGAGCCCATCACCTTCACTAACGCTGATCTGCCGAATGGCCCCCTCCCCCACTGTGACGCCTTGGTAATCAAGGTCGACATCAAGAACGTGGTTGTGTACCGGGTGCTCGTCGACACAGGCAGCTCGGTAAACATCATGTACTATGACACATTTACACAGTTAATTAAGCCTCTCCAAGAAATAATTGGAACAAGTGAGGACCCCCCAATTCGGGTTCACGAGGGGACTCTATCGAGACGGAGGGGTCGATCGACCTAGAGGTGGAGATAGGCACCCCACCCTATGATAAGAGATGTGAGGTGGAGTTCGTGGTCGTTAAAATCAGTTGCGCGCCTGCGCCCATAACATAATATTCGGCCGACCCGCCCAAGAGAACCTCAGATGCGTGATTTCAATGGAGCACCTGTGCCTCAAGTTTCCAACGCCAACGGGGCCTGGGTCGCCCGGGGAGACCAGAAGGTGAGCCGCAACTGCTACCTACAGGTAATTCCGCCAGATAGGTAAGAAGGATTTACAGTGGGGGCCGAGCCCGTGGTGGTGATAGAGGAGGTCGTCCTAGACCTCAGTCGACTTGACACGGTCGTGAAGGTGGGGGTCGGACTCCTAGCTGAGTTCCGAGCTCAGATCGTCAACACCATTTGAAGCTACAAAGAGGTGTTCGCGTGGGGTCCTGATGACATACTGGGCCATAGCCGGGGAGGTAATCACACACAAACTGGCTGTAGACCCCACAACCAAACCAGTGCAACAATGCAAAAGATACCTCTCCGCTGAGAGGAGAGAGTTTGTGAAAATGGAGGTCGACACCCTCCTGTAGATAGGGCAAATACAAGAGGTCCTGTACCCGGAGTGGCTCGCCAACGTGATCCTCGCCCCCAAGCCGCCCACCTAAAGGATGTGTGTGGACTACATCGACCTCAGCAAGTCCTGCCCTATGGACCCCTTCCCCGTGCCCAAGCGACTAGCTAGTGGACGAAACGACAGGATGCGCCCCTAATGAGTTTCTTATACGCCTCCAAAGGATACCATCAAATTTTCATGCATGAGGACGACGAGGAGAAGACGGCTTTCACCACGCTTGAGGGGGAATACTACTACAGGGTCATGGCGTTTGGGCTCAAAAATTTGGGGGCTACATACACCCGGATAATAGCAAAGGTGTTCAGACCTACGTCGACGACATGATAGTCAAGAGCCCCGAAACCAACCCCCATGTGGACGACCTAGCCGATGTATTTTCGATAATGAAACGCTTTAACTTGAGGTGGAACCCCAAGAAATGCACCTTCGGGGTACACGGGGGAAAGTTTTTAGGGTACATGGTCTTTAAGATGGGCATAGAGCCCAACCCTAAGAAGGTCAACGCCATCCTGGACATGGAACCTCCTAGGTCCCTCCGGGAGGTCCAACACCTCAATGGGCGGCTGGCAGTCCTGGGTCGATTCCTCTCCAAGTCAGCCGAGAGGTCTCTACCTTTCTTTGGGTGCTCAAGAGGTCTAAAGGTTTCGAATGGTCCTCTGAATACCAAAAAGCTTTTGAGGACCTCAAAATGTACCTGATGTCTCTTCCCCCCCCCCCCCCCCCCCACCTTGGCCAAACCTGTCAAGGGGGAGGTCATGTACATGTACTTGGGTATCTCACAGGTCGCGGTAAGCTCCGTGTTGGTCCGGGACGATGAGGGGGTTCAGTGACCCGTCTACTATGTGAGCTGACCTCTACGGGGGGCCGATATTAGGTACACACTCGTCGAGAAGGCCATATTTGCGGTAGAAGCTTCTGCTAAAAAGCTCAATCACTATTTCCAAGCCCATCCCATACATGTGCTCACCAACCAACCCCTAGACACGAAGTTGAGGGCCTCGGGGTCGTCCAGTAGGTTGGTCAAGTGGTCTATGCGCCTGAGCCAGTTCGATATCCATTTCAATCCCAGACCGGCTATCAAGGGGTATGCACTTGCGGACTTTATAGTCGAGTGCACTGCCCGGGAGTCCACAGAATAAGCCCGAGACGAAGAGGATGAGTGGTGGACCCTCTCAATAGATGGGTCCTCGAGCACCAAAGGCTGGGGAGGAGGAGTCGTCCTTATCACCCCAGAAGGGTTCCCAGCCTATTACGCCCTCCGCTTCGACTTCAAGTTTTCCAATAACGAAGCCGAACACGAGGTGCTCCTAGGAAGACTCCGGCTCGAGCTAAACATGAGAGCCAAAAAGGTCAAAATCCGGTGTGACTACCGACTCGTGGTGGGATAGGTCACGGGGGAATTCGAGGCCAACGAAGAAAGGATGAGACGGTACCGAGACATGGTCCTACGATTGTTAGGGCAATTGATCAATTATGAAGTTTTGCAGGTATCACGGGAGCAAAATGTAGACGCAGACATGTTATCCAAGCTCACCCAATAGGCCCCAGAACACATCTCCAAGATAGCTCAGATAGAAGACCTCAAGCGGTCAATTTTGGAGG